CACTCCCTCCCCCCTCTCGTGTGAGTCTTTTCACCTCCTAAAAATCAGCAACCAAAAGGTCAAATTGGGTCCCTACAACTTGTTAAATTCACCTCTGTTTGTGTGTCTATTTCCGTCTACGTGTAGTGATTGACTTCGATCACATTATTTACATTATTCAGGCTCGGTTTTATGCAAAAATCGTGCGAAACATCTGCATCTGGAAGGTGTGCAGTGGATATCGTGCTGCCCGTCTAAGCGTAGGGATCCCTGATGCTGCCTTGACGGTGGATGGTGAGTCATGTGGACTATCCATTCATGGTTTGGTGGAGGGCTTGTCGTCACCGTGATTGCCAATTTCGTTGAAATTGTCTTCATAGGACGACTTCACTTGTGAAGCACTTTTAATGCCGTCTCTCCGACTTCACTGGAGGCGAAGCATTTACAAGGGTCAGGATAAGCATTTTTTAGGCACTCCACGTGGACTTGTGTTTTTCTAATTTTACCGTTTTAATGATGCCATGGAATGTGACTTTTTTAGTGAAAACAGTGAGTGGGTAAGGTGACTAATTTTAGCTCCTTTTAAACGTCAAACACGGTCACATGGACAAAACTATTTTCTCCAGTGCAGAGTTGATCCACTTTGGATTGTCTAGATCGTAACTCCTCCCTTCCTAATTGATATTGTGCTAAATGTTTGAAATATAAATAAAAATGTTGGAGCCGCTGAATCGCAAAAGCGTACTCGTCCTGCAAACCAACCCACTAAATTTCCTGTCCTTTTGTCAACTTCATGTAACAAACTCCCTTTTTGATTGAAGGAAGGCATCTGAGGTAATGCCAGCTCCTCACCAATGGTGGGGTGGATTAATTTGGGTAGTCAGCAAAAAGGTGTGAGTTGAGACTTTTCCTGCAGGCAAGCCAACTGTGAAGGCTCTTCGCCACTCTGTGGCAACTGGCAGCAACTGCACGATTTTACACCCACCTCGTCTGCCTGATGCTATGCAATCCTCTGATGAGGTGACGAACAACGTCAAGTTCTTGGGTGTTGTCGAGATTGTAAAACAAATTTCAAATTTCCTAAGTTCCCATAATGATTTACTAGTTGATAGTTCAAAAGGCGACTGCTAACGCCTTTGTTACCACCGCTGACCAATGCATTCAACGAAACAAAAGTTATTTTAAAGTAACACTGGATACTTTAAAACAAGTATTGTTGGATGTTTAAAACACACATTTTTAAAACTCGAGTGATGTTGTTAGAGAGCGTCAACTCTTTTTCCCCACAATTTTTTTGCGCTACAACTGATGGATGAAGGAATCGTTTGTGTTCACTTGTGTCACCGAGGTCTGGAAGCGTCACTGGTGGTGTAACCGACACCAATCCAGTGTCACGAGGGTTCGCGACTACTTCCGCTTTTACAACAGTGAGATCATGCCAGCTTGTCCTTGGCCAGCACTTTGTGATAGTTGATCAGGTGGGAACAAAACGGAAAGGGGCAGATGATGTGTCCGAAATGAGACTGCTGACTCAGAAATTAAGGTGGCACAGTCCCACACTTGCCTCCTCTTAAAGGAAAGAGCACTTACTCCCCCTTGTGCTGCAGCTATGTCAGCGTTTCCTCCGATTAGAAACGATGGGTAGGTAGGTAGCAGGCAAGCAGGCAGGCAGGCAGGCAGGCAGGCAGGCAGCAAGCTGGCTAGCAGGATGGGTAGCGCGCACTTACACGAGATACGCACCAGCCAGAATGCGAACGATAGGCGCTAGTGTTGGCTTCACGCTAGCCCTCATTCGCACACACACCCACCAACGTCTTCGTGCGTTGTCGCAAACGAACCTTTGCGCTTCACCCAACTACCAAGGGGTTGATGCGCTGCAGGCTGGACTTCCAAAATTGGATACTATCTCGCCTAGGTGATCAATACTTCCAAAGACATAAACAGGAGGCTTTAGTGTGACGCATTACATGTTGGACTTTGGGTTATAATGATATCAGCGCCATGTGTGTGTGTGTGTGTGTGTGTG